TCACACTAGAGAATCAATCTTCGAAAAATCTTCTTTCATTTGTCGCATCTACTTGCATCGCGCATCATCTTCTTGCAGGAAATCTTCTGAATCGTCAAAAATCTGCTTTCTATCTACTCAGCGTGCGTGCAGCTAGCCACAGCATAACACAATTTTTTCTGCATCGTAGATAGAGTCGTCCCCCTCGGATGAAACCAAGGTTGCAAATACTCATTTCAGCTAAAATAATGTTTTTCGGAATAATAAAACCAAGAGATGGTATGATGGCATGTTTTACTTGTAACTTACAAGAAGAGGTTACGAAGTATGCGTTTGAAACATAAAACCTGTAAATTTTGCTTTCTATGAGTCACAATCAGCGATGTGTTGATCGCTGAGTGAGTGAGTGAGTGAGTGAGTGAGTGTGTAAAAAATCGCTGATTGTGACTCTCATGAAGTGAAATAAACAGGTTTAATATGTCAAACACATTCTTTGCAACCTCTTCTTGTATCCTACCAATTCAAAATATGATCATGGCATCTAATTATTTAATAATAAAAAAAAATTGTTTTAGCTGAAATGAGTATTTGCAACCTTGGCATGAAACCAGTGCATTCCGGGACCAGTTGTGGCTGCTCTGCGGCTGATTCGCGCGCTTTTCAACATCGTGATTCAGTGGGAGCAGTATCGCTCTCGGCACCGTGACTTGACTCAGCGATTGTCTGGCATTTGGGCACGGTACGAAGAATTGTCAGTCTCGTTGTGGCAAATGTGCTGGGGCTCACAACGCGCTACCGCCTGCAAGAAGAAGCTGAACCTAAGTGCATGAACTGTGATTCCAACCATCTGGGCAGCGATAGGAGATGTTCCAAGCGAGCGGCCTTCATTCAGATCCAACAACAGGCTTCCACGAGGAACCAACCTGGTCACCACCGCAATAATCGTGTTCCTATTGTCAACATGGACACGTTAACAGTACTTCAGGCTCGTCGTATGGTCCCGAACCTAGCACCACTTCCGCTAAACCAGCGCCCCCCTCGTTGCGAATCCATCATCAGATCAAGCGGGTCCCAGCCACCGTTCAGTTCAGCATCGCCTCACTGCCGCTGCGGCCCAACCGAGCCATGGCTCTGCTACCTCGGGATTATCGTACACCCGTGCTGTGTCAAGTGAGACAATTGTCCAATCACAAGCGACGAACTAGTAATCCTCGTGACTGAGGTGATCATAATCTTGCGCACCACCAAGACACTACCTGAACAGCTTCGGGCAGTTATGTCCCTCGTGCAAAAGTATGGACCGTGAAGCCATCAAAATAGTCAACTGGAACGCTTGCTCGCTCAAGACCAAAATCATTGAATTCGTTGATTTCCTCAATGCCGTCATCACAGAAACACACCTGAAGCCGGAGATAAATGTTCACCTCTCCGATTTTCGGCTCGTAAGGCTAGACCGGACTGCGGAGGAGGAGTGGCTATCGCATTAAGGAAAAATATTGGCTGTTGACTGCTATCGAGTTTCCAGCTGAAGATGATCGAAGCGGTGGGTGTGGAAGTCTCCACTCCTGTCGGCCCTATTACCATCATTGTGGCCTACTGTCCCAAACAAGTCACGATCAGGGACGGGTCGGCAGCAGACCTGCGGCGAGACATCATCAGACTAACTCGACGGCGTGAGAAGTACATCATCGCTGGCGACCTGAACGCCAAACACCAGGCTTGGGGCAACAGTCGACGCAACCAAAATGGTACAATTCTGATCGACGACCTGCAAGAGGTTCACTACACCATAATAGCGCCGGACTCTCCAACCCGGTTGAGCCGGTCTGGAGTACACTCCACCATCGACATCTTCGTCACCACTATCCGGTGGTGGCCGATGTGGTCAACAACAACGCCTAACAAAAACCATCCAAGCCAAACTAACCAAAATCCTTAAAAATAAGCCAAGACCCATTCCACCACTGACCCCACTGGATAGTCCCTGTGGGCTGCCGCGATAGGTCAACACTTCGTCAGCTCCCATAATCTCGGACAAAACATCATCAGCCCTCACGAAGCTGAGGTTGCTGAAAACTCAACCAACCTCCATCAGATTCCTTATATTTTTCCCGAGGAATCCGGGATTACGGCTGACGAACTGTTGGCCTATATCAAATCATCTAAAAACATGAAGGCCCCAGGTTTCGACAACATCCTGAATCTGGAACTCAAACACTTGAGTTCCACATTCTACAACCATCTGGCACGGAGTTTTAATCTGTGCTTCCGACTTGGCTACTTCCCCTCGTGCTGGAATTTAGCTAAAGTCATACCCATCCGGAAACCTGGGAAGGATCCGTCCTCTCCTTCAAGTTATCGGCCAATCAGCCTTCTCTCAGGGTTATCAAAACTGTTCGAAAGAGCAGTCTACCACCGGCTCCTAACATCTGTTGAAGAAAACAACTTGTTACTCGAGGAACAGTTTGGTTTTCGGAAGGGTCGTTCGACCGTCCACCAGCTGACTCGAGTAACAAACAATCTCAGACGGAACAAGTCTGTATCGAAAAACATCTGCCAAAGTGTTCGACAATGTCTGGCATGATGGCCCTGGTGTTCTAATTGCAGCAGTACGCTCTTCCAATCTTCCTAGTTAAGATAATAAATAACTATCTATCGTACAGGACGTTCCGAGTATCTCTGATTGGCATTACATCGGATGCTTTCAACATCGTTGCCGGGGTTCCACAAGGAAGCATCCTTGGCCCCATTTTATTAAACCTGTTCACTTGCGATATGCCGGCTCTCCCTGATGGTGGATCGTTGTCTCTGTTTGCAGATGACACATCCATCGTCTACAAGGGTGACTGCCAAACTTCAGAGTGGTCTGGACGTCCTGTCTGAATATTTCAACATTTTTTTGAAGATCCGTATCAACGCGGCAAAGACTCAGGTCATCCCACACTCTAAATCTCCCAGACTTGTTCCGTCGGAGAATAATAAGATCTGCCTGAACGGCACAGTGGTGGAATGGTCGTAAGAGGTAGTCTACCTCGGCTTAACACTAGACAGCAAGCTGATTTTCAGAGAGCACGAAACCACTTTGTTGCGAGTAATTTACTTAATTATTATTATGATTATTTATTGATGATAAATAAATTACAGTTTAAGCGTTGCATCAAAAAAAAGTTGTTGCTTAAAAAATTTGGTTTCCCTTAGGGAACAACTCGCATAAAATCCGTTCCCATATTCGTTAACGAGAGCCGTGGACTTTAGTTCACGGTGTACATTTCCTTCTTCGCGCGGACCGTGAACTATAGTTCACGGCTGCTGTTCACCATTATGGGAACGGATTTTTTGTTCGGTTACCGTAAAACGGGGTATCTTTGATAATGCGGGTAACTTTGATAATAAAATATAATGATTGAATTTACTTTCTGCGCTTTTTCCACATTGTAAACATTGATTCTATATTGTTGCTTAGGGTATGATATGGTTTATAGTTTTTATAAAGTATGTGCTACATATTTTACAAACATATAAAAACAAATTCTTGTCTTTCACCTGTTTGAAAAAGCACTCAAACCATCACTAATTAAATGTATTTCCTATACATCCATCACAAATTAAATGTTGTATTCTTATTGCTTATTTTTTTTTTTTTCTTCTTTATTATAGAGATTTTTAGCCTGAGGCTAGTTCATCTCTTGATCTTATTGCTTATGATGTTTTCTGATTATAAACTCATTCAAAGTTTCTTATTTCAAAACTGAATTATTTAAGTTTCACGCATTTTCTTCTACATTCATCGAGCATTGTCAAGGTAACCCCAAATCAAAATACTGATGTTCGGTCACAAGACTAAAAAAAATAGTGAAGATGCTTTAATTTGCATTAATCATATTACTAACGAATTGACTCTAGGCTCCTCAGTACTTGTTCTAAAAACATAAAATTTGAAAAACATGATTTGCTATAAAAAAAATAATCAATGCTTCCCCGTTTTACGGTACGCATTTTCACAGCAAAGTGGCGAAAAGGCTTCTGAGCGAGAAAGAGTTAATCACTTTCGTTCTTTTCAACACATCTTTGCTGTTAATCGATAGGGTTTTTGATCTAATTTCCGTCCTACTAAGCACAACCCGCACTTTACCTCTCTTTTCTGAACGGGTTTGAACAAAAAATGGAATATTTCCATCAAAGATGACTTCTAAATTTATTCACCTTTCCATACGTACCGTTGGATTTGATAAAGAGTCACAAATTGTTGAGATATTGTGCAAAATCTAACACTGCATCTTGATTCTTAAATCGTCCTAACGCATTGAAATTCCATTAGATTTTCTTCGTCCTACGGATAAACGTAGAAAAAGGGGATTCGCTAGGAGCGCTTCTTTTGTTTTGAGAAAAATGAGCGCAAATATTCATACAATGCGCTCTAATAGGATTTATGTTGTAGCTAATGAACTAACGCATCGGAACAAACCTATTTTTGATTTTTGCACGGTGAAATTATTGATATTATTGATCTTTTCTGGTCGATAGAACGGAAATGGGCGATTACGACGAAGTAGTGCTCTACCCTATAAAATGAAACACAATCAAAAATTACAAAAAAAATCATCCGATTTTAATTGAAAGTAATAACCTGTGCTCAACTGTAAATATATACAAAACACTTCCACGCTAACAGCTCACCACCAGTGCTATCCGCCAGCATGTTAACCACGTGATGTAAACAAAAACAACTTGAGCAGTTTAAGCTGGATTTCGAATAAGCATTCTGCCGAAGCAGTATCGAAATAACGAACATTTCAGCCCATATAACACACACTTCACACTAATGTACCGTCACTGACAACTTAGAGTTCATTTAAGACAACATAAATACACACTTAGAAAACGCACACGTTCTGAGACCAATAAACTAGGTCAATAAACTCACGACAACCTTCGTCATTTGATTCATTTTAGAAAATTCACCATTACACATCTACTACACTTGCCCGTTCAGAACGTTAAATTTTTGTCACTATCGTTACCTATCATTCACGACTGCTAGCACCCTTTCACTTTGGTTATCGTCCGCCTGCTTGTTATTACCGATCCCGCCTCGACCAATTGAAAAATAAAACTCACTGCTGCCGCAAATTCCGTACGTTGCATCGGCCTTCGGTTCACCACTTGACAACTGAGAATTCGCCGTGTTTTGGCTTAAAATCTGCATGTATAATAAAAATCAGCTTCAATTATTATGACGGTAGTGCAAAACAGAACAGCACAGTAACTATTCATTGACGTCCACCACTGACAGCTGTGCGGTGAACAATGCGCAGAATCGACGGTACAAATAGTGACCGCACGACCATCTAATGTTGTGTTGCCATACCATACTAAAGCTACCCTCAAATCCAAACACAAATACCCCATACACCCCCAGTTGAACACAAGTGTGATGATTTAATTCAACTACAGAAAAAATCTATGAATGAAACCCGCAAACCAAACAAAGATTCGGACACCTTCTCCCCCCGTCTTCCTATCGTGCGCAGTAGTGGGCGAAGGTCGTCCGTCAACGCAGAATAAGCGAACAGATGATATTTTCAGTATCGTACCACGTTACCTCGTGAATTCTACCAAATGAAAAACAACGCAACGAACGGAAAGATACTGGAGACAAGTTTGGAAGACCAAAGATGGTTAAACCACAAGGAAAGTCAGTAACTATAGTGAAGAAGTGTATTTGAACTATGATAAGGTTTATTGCAACACGAGACAACGAGATGGTATTATTTTACAACTAACTGATAACGATTGACTCAGTCCCTTAAAAACGGATACCTCATTCGAAACAAAGAAAAATCGAAAAATGTTACGGGAAAATAATAATATGAAGGTACCGTGGAGGCACCATATTCGAAGCGGTGCCTAAATCGACGCACTCAATAATGTTTAACTATTTTCAATCTTTATTTTTTTCAAATGTTACTTATGAAAATATTAGTTTCAGTGCTCTAGGGATGACCTTATCAAAATGAGATGCTATCTCAAATAGACTAGTGCGTCATCATTAGAAAAACGTCAAATATGGTGCTGGCACGGTAGAAGGTAGCAATAGAACCGTATCACAGTTTGCCCTTCTTCGCAGGGGCAGTCTTCTTTGTCGCCGCGGTCGATGCTGGCTCGGGTGAGGGTGATGACGACGGGTCCCGTGGTTCCGGAATCAGTTCGTTGACCCATTTGATGACCTGCAGCAGTTGGTCCTTTTTGATCTCGTGCAGTGCGGTGCGATGCGGTACGAACTGACCGCGGACGCCCAGTTTGGCCAGCTCGTCGAAGGTCGTTTGACCCCACTCGGTCGGTACCAGGGTGTCCCTGGGAAATAGACGAAATTCGATTTAGGATGGGACCGTAGAAAGAATGGATAATATACATAGATAGGTCAACTGCAAATCAATACAATTTAATCGTATAGTCCAGCAGTTTTGAGGCGGCCATCTACCAGATATTTTAAGAATATGAGCTTATTAGTTGCAGTTTTTTTTTTATTTGACACAGCATAAGTAAAACACTCTCCAGCCAATAATTAATGCGATGAACCAGTCTAAGGCTGAAAGTTTCGTACCCCAACGCGGAGGAAATGTAAGATTCTATTGCAGATTTATATAAAAAGCATATAGACTTGGAAATTGTGTCCCCGTATATATGAACAGATCTTATCTGAACTTATACAAAACTTGCTGAAGTTATACAAAATGAACTGAAGTTCTATGAAGTTTGCTGAGCTTTAACAAGGTAGCTGAATTTCCACTGCACTTCTGGAAAGATCTCTACAAGGTTCAATGAGTGCCTACGTAGTTTTCGATGTTTGTTGAAGATCTATGAAGTTTGCTGTAACCTGAATGGGCCAAGAAGAATCAATTTCTTTCTCCACGACAAAACACTATATTTGGTATCAACTTCATGGTCTCTAATGTCACTTTCGTCATTTGTGTCGAAGTTCGATCCCAAATGTATTACAGAATAAGGTGATCCAAGAGACGTTTCTCAGTGGAACTGACAACTAGAAATCAAGAGTGTGTGAGTGATCTGGTGTTAATGGTGCTGAATGTAAACATAAACAAAGCAGAAATTCATATGAGATTGAACTGTCAGTTCTACTGTGATCTGTCAAAAGTTTTTGGTAAACAAAAAAGTCAGCTGATCGCAGCTGTCTCGTGGACAGTCTTATTCGTCCATTTTTCGACTTGAGAAGTTCCGTGCGTAGTCCGACACTAATACCAACAATCAATACGAAACTAACGATTTCAAATTGGCTCACTACTTGACTAGCCTATTGGTCCCAAGCAAATCGACTAACGTACCCCATTCTAGTATAAATTCCAGTACTACACTATGTTTGTTTCGATGGGTGAATCGATCAGCTTGGGACCGAAGATAGTACCAGAGCTGAGCCAAAAATTTAAGCTCGTTTCTTCGGGACCTTCTGGTCTTAGAGTTACCTCTATGCTAATACTGCAGGCAGTCCCATTGTTACGTTTAGTTAAGTTAACGTTAGTCAACAATATAGTTAATAAAACATAAAGCAAAAGTAGAAGGAAAAAGCTTTCAGTGTAGGCTGAACAACGTAAACAGATGCTGCAGGGGTGCACCGATTGAAAGCGGACTCAATGCTATGGATTATCTTGCACCCGTGAGAGTGCTAAGTGCAGCCATTCAGCTCAGTTTCCGCTGAATCCAAAAGAGGAACGAAGCAGACAAAACGGAAAAGTACACAGAGAGGCAAAATCGTTTTGGTGCTCCCGCCGATTAGTCGCGTTTTCGCTGGTTGTCCGTGGAAAAAATTCGCTGCTGGTGTCCGGAAAACAGTTCCCGGTGCGGAGAAAAAGGAGTGAAAAAAGCAACTCGCGGGTAGTCGCTGGTAGCGACGATAGAAATTTCGGTGGCGAACAACTAGTGCTGCGAGATAACACCCGTTCCGATCGAACTCTGTGTGGCGTTGGAGATACGAATCAGGTAATGGCAGATGATTTTCTGCATGTGCGTCATGATAACCCCATTTGCATTTTCCATGCAGATCGAGGTGCTGCACTCGCACGGAGTAACGGAAGAAAAACTCCCACAACCGGCTGGATTCGAGCCCTTCCCAGACGCACACGGGGAAAAAGTGCACGGTGAGTGTAAAATATGCCTCACTCTGGATAGCCCGACTAATACAGCGTTTGTTACTTTTTTTTTTTTTTTGTTAATTACTTTATTTGTACAGGCTCAATCGTGCGTTTGTTACTGTCTTCCGATAGATCAGTGGAAGATAATTTGCACCGCATCCACCTTCACGCCGTCTGAGGATATAAAAACGAACCAGAGAGGGGCACACAAGGCAAATCGTTCTAGCTCCGAACAGATTTGGCACCAAGAAAGGCCTTCGAAAGAGGTAGGCCGTTAAATTTCGTGTGAGATGAGCCTAAACCTAACCCTAGTTTGCCACAGGGCATTTCTTCTTGATTTTCATCTTTCCGTTTAGTGCGGCGGTGTCCGGTGTGCGACGCGAGGGACGAAAAGCAGAGCGAGACCGTCTGCGGGCACGGTCAACATCCGGGCAGTTGCTAATCGACCGGGAGAGGATTGGGGAAACCTTCAGACCGATACGACCACCCACTAAACAAGCTGGCACACCAGTGACGGAAGAAGGAGCTGAAACGATTGTGCATACGAGCAAGAGCAGGAGTCGAGGGTCAACCTTTCGGCCAGTCGGGATCGATACGAGTGCCCTGGTTGACGATCGAAGAGAGACGCCATACGTTCGACATCCAAGTCAGGCGGTGACGGGCCGGTCGACAGAGTAGCTCAAGGAGCGGTCAGCGACGGCCGAAGCAGGCAGCGGTGTATAGGCGTAGGCAATCCGGCTGTGCTATCTGAGTGAGGATCAGACGTCGAAACGGCTACCAACGACAGCAGAAGCAGTAGGCGGAAAACTCGAGCGCATACGCCCGGGTTGTTGAAGATCACCGGATGGGCGCTCCGCTCGGTCGGGCTATTGCGTGTTCGCATGAAGGGACAAGTACGCGATGCGCCTCCACGTCCCACGACAGAATGCATGCCTCCGAACGACATCGATAGTACCGGTGCACCCATAAGCAGCAGCAGCCGAACAACAATGATGGGCTCATTATCAGCAATAAAGTAGAAAAGAAAGGTAGCAGGGAGACCTTTGAGAGTCTCATAGTTGAGAGAAGGAAGAGTAGGAGAAGCGCAGGAAAATGGGAGCAAGAATACACGACTGTTAAGATGATTTTCTTGCGTTTATTTGATTTGTTGGTGCACTTCCCGAATAGAAATTGTAATGTAGGAAACATCAGCAGACATCTTCAATACATTAAATTTTAATGTGTATTGCTGTACCCTTAATGTATTCAGACTTCAGTGTGACATCCAAGTACATAAAAATACATTAGCCTCAAACGTTACATCAGAATCAAACGTCTTGACGATGTAAAATTTGACATCAGAATACATCGAATGACAACAGAACCAAACGTTACATAAGAATCAAACTTCATCACGATGTAATTTGTTGCACGCATAAAACATCAGAATACATCCAATTACAACAGAACCTAACGTTACATTAGAATCAAACTTCATCACGATGTAATTTGTTGCACGCATAAAACATCAGAATACATCCAATGACAACAGAACCTAACGTTACATTAGAATCAAACTTCATCACGATGTAATTTGTTGCACGCATAAAACATCAGAATACATTCAATGACAACAGAACCTAACGTTACATTAGAATCAAACTTCATCACGATGTAAATTGTTGTCCTTCGGTCCCTCGCCGCATGCAAAGTTTGTTTTGTCCTGAGTCAGCACTACACGGCGAATGAGAACACCCAAATTTGAGTTTAGTTCACTCATAAATCGCAAAAAGTACAGGAACTCAGTTTTGAGTTAATTTCCCTCTGTTTTTCCAGGTTTTCCAGGTTTTTCCAGTAAAATTTTTCCGAATATAAGAAAAGTAAAGATTGGATTCTGTGGATTTTCGTCAATCCTAATTTTCCGGAATTTTGAAGTTTTCCACCGGAAAACATGAGGCAAATCTCGAGGCAAATTTACTCATCGCTGCGTTCCTGCATTTTTTGCGATTTTGAGTACACTGTATTCAAATTTGGGTTGATCACATTGGCCGTGTACAGTTTTTTTTTCGCGGTGTCCGTCGCGAGTTTTGGTGGCGATTCGGTGTCCGACGTTGCGGCAAATCCTTTGGTTTGTTTTTTCCGTCGATCTTGTTTTCCGTGCTGAGCACCAATGCTACCAACGTGCCAGGAAGGCAGCTCCCACACCTGGACCCCCGCCAGTTTCGAAGATTGCGAGTCCCGCGATCGCCCTTGGAAAAGGAAGGCTGTTTTTCAGGTAAGTAAATGTAAAAAATGTAAATTAATGTACTGTAATTATGTTTTTTTTTTTAGGAAAATGCACCAGTGCGAAGCCGGATCCCGGTAGGGAATCCGAAGCTGGATCCCGGCGGGGAATTTGAAGCCGGATCTCTTTGCAGGTTAGTGAATGTGTTTATTGTTTTTTATTATTTCAGTGCTAACATTTGAAAACGGCGCAAAAGCCATTTGTTAACAAATGGTTTGTGGGCCCTTTACTCGCTACCCGAAGAACGCCCACGCAAACCAACGGCATCGTCAGGAAGGGGAAAATTTCCCCTACCCGATGTTGCTGTTGTGTCGCGTGGGTGTACTTCAAGTAGTGAGTAAAGGGCCCACAAACCATTTGTTTACAAATGGCTTTTGTGCCGTTTTCAAATGTTAATTTTGATTGACGAATAAATAAATAAATAGGGGGAGGAGGGGCATAGTGAGCATCCCGCAGTTTGGCTTTGGATCTCCAGCTGCATGAAACAAATCAGCTGGTAGTAGGTTCAATATCATTATGATATTGATCCTACCACCAACTATTTTTTTTTTCCGAACAGCCGGAAGTTCAAGCTGGATGCTCACTATGCCCCACCTGTTCACTATGCCCCTCTTACCCCTACTAAAAGCTTAAATAAAGTGGAAGATGACGGGTTCCGTAGGCGGATCCCGATGACGGGTTCCGTATACGGATCCCGATGACGGGTTCCGTAGACGGATCCCGATGACGGGTTCCATCGACAGATCCCGATGGGGAAACCGAATACGGATCCCGATGGGGAAACCGAATACGCATCCCAATGGGGATTCCGTAGACGGATCCCGATGGAGATTTCGTAGACGGATTCCGATGGGAAACCGAATACGAATCCCGATGGGGAAACCGAATACGGATCCCGATGGGGAAACCGAATACGGGTCCCAATGAGGAAACCGAATACGCAT